TAAATATAAATATAATAATAATAAAATATAATATAAATATAATAAAATATACATTCTATGTTTTCATTTTATAAAATTTAAAATATAAATAAATAAATTGAAAATATAACTAAAGTGTCTAAAAATGATGTAATTAGAAGATAAATTAGAATATTAAAAATGTTCAAACTAAAATATAAGTAAATAAAATATGAAAAATTAGATAAATAAAAAATAAAGAATAAATGTTTTCTAAAACAATTATCTGTTATTATATTAAGATTTATTCTATTTTTATGATAAAATTTACTAAATTTTCTAATATGTTCTCTTATATAAAATATCTAATTACAATTTAATTGCTGCAACAATTTAATAATAATATGTTAAAGCATACATAAAATATATAAGGTAGGTACTATTTACAAGTAATATTAATCAATTACAAAGTTTAAAATGAATTTATTTTAAAAAATGATACTTTTTTAAAAATGAAATACAATACCATATGGCTAAAATTCCAGAAAGAAACATCACAGCCATTGAGTCTAGTAGTTGCTAAAAATATAAAATCATGCAGTCATAAAATATTAAAACACTTGTTTAAAAGACAAAATTATGCAAATATATGAACAAAATATTCTATGCATGACAATAATATAAAAGAATACAAATTTTGAAGTTAAAGTTTATAAAGAAATAGCAAACTTTTCTATTTGTAATATTATATAATACTACAAATTTATTTAATATTACATAATATGTGTATATATATACACATATAATATGTATATGTATATATATATTATATATAATATATAATTATTTGTAACCTTCACGTGATGAACGTAAAAAAAAAAATAATCTCATGGTTCAAAAGAAATACTCTTGTCTGACTTAATACTACTTTTTTAATTTCAGCATTCTTAAATATAGAATACCTTTGTACATATATGTTAAGTAGCTATTGCTGTTTCCAACAGGTAATGCGTTATCGTATAAAGTACGAATTTAGCTTATATTGCATTGTGATGAAATATGCTTTGCAGATACTTAGAGATAGTTCTGATAGTCGCAACTACATCGGAAGCAAAAATTATTTCATATTATTCAACTATTGTTTTCCCACAATATTTATGATTGCCAAATCCGTACTTTAATCATTACGTACATTGCGCATATTAAACGAATTTTACACGTTAAACGAATATGATTTTATTTACATTTGAGCGACAAATACACAATGGTTGTTCTATCGAATCGCAATAATACTACATAGCCTTATCAATGATTTCAAAGAAAATATATCGACAAAAAATTTATCGGTATGTAGTAAACATAATTTGAGAATGATTGATATCATTTAGCGAAATATGAATCATATTATCATATTTATGCAAAGACGCAATGCTTGTAATTGTAATCGATTGCAATTACATAAGAAAATAATACAATGGCTTTCAATTTTCAAACATCTATTTTGTGTAAAATAATCATCTTTCTTATAAAGATTCAAAAACATATAAAAACTTGAAATCTCAGAAATGCGAATTATGTACATAATATAAAACTGATCTATGATTTTTATGCGTTTTTTTTTATATCCCGTTTTATGATATTTAATTTCATGTTAATATGAAGCAAATAACATAACCAATATATATCTTAAAAAATTGTTTTCAACAAAAAGATGAAGCTAAAATATGTATATTCTACATTCATCTAATTAGATTTCATCATTGCAATAGATTAATAATATTGATCACCAATAATCGTCCTTAAATAACATTCCTGTACAAGATGCTCTATTATAGTAACAGATTTATGATGAATGAGAATTTTTTTGCATTTAAAAAGCTACAAAAGAAATAATTACGAGAGAGCATATAAGAATAATTTTTGACTTTTTTTAAATCAACTAAACTTGAGATCAGCATGTACAGGAATATCTATATAATAAGAATAAACTTAAATTTTTGTTAATAAATAAATAGTACAGATGTATGTTGAAGAATGTGATGCTTACTGGAAGACGGTATTAGAGTTTGACTGTAATATTTTTTGCTCTTAAAGAATTACAAGAATACAGTTGTAATTTTAATAAAACTTTAAAATTATAAATATTAATTAAAAAATTAATTCATAAAAAATTATTCATTAAAATTGCCCATTGAAATAAATAAAAAAAATTAAAATAAAAATAAAAAAAACATTTTGCGCTCGAACAAACATAAATTAATACTAAAAATATAATTTCAAAAAAGTCAAAACAGAAAACTCCAAAAATATTTGCAACTGTATTCATTAATTCCCTTTTCTACGTGAACCACAACTTACAATAAAGTGCTGAACAACAAATTTAGTTGCCTTTATGAAGTCTTCCAGTTTTTTCAAATTCATGTAATAAATGATTTCTGATAAAGACTTCATTTAAAATAATTTTGTTCTCAATTTGATACTCAGCACTCCAGTAGTTCAGTTTTTTTTTTTTAATTTACACAGAAACATCATTTAAACAATGATTAACGTATCAGACAGGTAGCACAAATACGTTGAGGCCCGATGCAATCATCGTGACAAAACGCGCCACACTGTCGGCATATTACCATAGCACCACGCATATTACATTCACATGGAGGTGGTGGATCTCCACCCATAATCATTCCAGGTGCTCCAGGTTCGGCGCCACCTCCTCCTCTACCATCAGAACCTCTTGCTTTTAACGTTACTGCCTGATGTGAACCCTCTCCTGCACTAGCAGGTCTACCACGTACTAAATGCACTCCGACACCCATTCCAGCAATTTGAGGAGGTAGAGGTGGTGCAGAAGATGCTCTAGGTGCACTATCTCCAACTCCTGTTCTCTGTACCAATATATATTGACCTAATCCACCTGTTGTTGTAGATCCTAATTGTGCTATGTTATTGCTTTCTGGAATCTAAAAGGAATATTTAAACATGAAACAATTTTTCTGATTTTAAATTTTATTTTAAGAATAATATTATAATTGATTAAAATAAAGAAACATATGACATCTAAAACTATATTAATATCTTTTTCCTTATTCTTTCTGTTTTTAAAGAAAAATTTTTCTGTGAAATAAGTTATTAAGATATATCTTTCTTGATTCTTTTACTTTACGAAAATCATTATATTGTTTCCACTACTTTTAGAAACTCAAAACTAGAAAGTAGATTTATTTATTTAGGTACCTGTATGATACAGTGATCATCACAAGCCACCCGCAAGATTAGCACTGTACACACAGAAAAATATCAAATAATATATGATGCAAGCTTGAGTTTCTATTTTATATATGTATTTCAAAAATAATGAAAGTTGTAATACAACTGATAAAAAAGATTCTATGTAAAAAAAAATAGAAAATTCCGTACAAAATTTTTTAGTTTAAAGTCTTATTTTCGAGAAAACCAATTTTAAACAATAAGATACATATACAATTTATATATTTTGAATATTTTTTTTTATAAAAATAAATATCTCTATTTAATGAAAGCTGTTCAATTTTTTCATTTATTTTTTGCTCTTAAAGATAGTGCAAGAAGCACTATCACATTTTGATAAACCAATTATATATTTGTTCTATTATAATTATATATTTTTTTTCTATCTATATATAAAATTGAATCGATCGTTATTGTACAATACCTCCTCGCTCATTAAGATCACTAGATATTATTGACTTTCACTTATTAATAAAAAGAATAATACAACTGAAAGCAATTTTATAAGAATTTAAAAATTAAAAAACAAAAACATATTGAAAACTGTTAATTCTTCTTTAATTTGTAAAACACTGAGGCAACAGGAGCGACCTTCCTAATAATATTTATAACATTAAAAACACATAACAATCTGCAAAAACTTGTTATATCATTTGAGTCATGGTTCAATAAATGTTTATAAACATGAACAGAAACAATTCATTGGATTGAATTATGATAATCAAATCCTATTTAATTGTACATATATTTAACTAATCTTCAAATCGATTTTTTCAAAAACGAAATGTTGACGAAAAAATTATATACTTATTTTTCTATAAAAAATCATATTTTTTCTAATTATTAATTATAGGATTTCTATTTTACTCTATTGATTTGAAAATTTCAAATAAGCATTTATATTTCTCAAATATTATATATATATCTTAATCATTTTTATGTTACAAATATATGCAATATAAAAAATATGCAATAAAACAAATATGAATTTTAATATTATATTTTCACTTTTATTTATTTTATTATATTTTTACTTATATTTAATTAAATTTAATATATTCTCTATTCAACATACTATTCAATGTATAATACTTTTACAAAATGAAATAATGAATTAATAAATAATATATTTTCATTTTTATAATAAAATACAAGTTACTACATATAATTTTTAGAAGAAATATCTCATACCTCTGTAGAAGTTGCTTGACGTGCTGTTGCAAACACATGTCTTAACATAACTGCTTGTGTTTTATTTTGAGTTTGTTTATTTTGTATTGTTTGTGATGGTTTCTGAGTTTTGACTGTTGTAATTGTACGGCCACCAGATTTATTCGTTGTGAATGCACCATCGCCTCTAGCAAGTAAGCTAGGTGGAGGTTTCAAATGAGCTTTTAGTTGATCTCTATTTGGTGAACTTTGTATAACCTATAATAATAAATATATATTTTTTAAAGAAACAAAAAAAATTAAATTTCGAACCTTTAAAACTTTTTTTAAAAAATATTTTGTGTTAAATTACCGCTTGACATATTTGGTAACTACGTTCCAAATTAACAGCACCAGGTGGTTCTTTTGTAGTACTACGAGATCGACCTCCTCCTTGTTCTTTATTGTTACTCCTGGAACCTCTCTGATTACTTTGATTACTAGAACGTGAAGATCTTGAAGATACAGTAACTGTTCCTCCAGGATATTGTTGTTGTTGTATGGTCGCTACAACTTGCCGTGGTTGCGTAGGAGCCGATGCTTGGTGTTGAATTACAATGGTATTTTGTGTACGATTTTGTGGTTGTACACTAATTGCTGCCGTAACAGTATTCGGAACTTGATTTTGAATCACATTATTTCTAATATTTCGTGTATTATTATTTTGAGTATTTAATTGAACGACTTCTTCTTGCGTTCTCATTATATTCACTTGTGAAGTTGTATTCTGAATTTGAGCATTAATTGGAGATGTACTATTTAAAGATGACGCAGTGTTTTGATCAGAATGAAAATTGGTTTGCACAAATCTAATAGATTGTAATTGTGGAAATGCAATAATAGGTGAGCTTTGAGATTGAAAATTTTTCATTATACAGCTTGTTCCTGGTGTACCAATTGCGAGACTTTCCGATTGAAACGGAGTTCCTTGAACAACTGGTAATTGAATACAGTTAACTGATTCTACATTAGAATCTGCATTGATAAATTGTTGAGGTGGATTAGTTGAATCTGTTGAAGTAGGTGTCTCGTTGCATTCATCTTGAGTAGTCACTGTAATATTAGCAGCAACAGATCCATCAAGAGCTGCAGCTACTAGTGGCCATGGAACTTGAAGCTCTTCTTGAGGCTTTATGAAATAAAATTAATTTTTTTTAAATCAAAAATAAGATAAATAATCAGTTATGATATATTTTAAAAGAAATTAATGCTAAGAATACAAAGATATTAAAATTTTTTATCAATACACTTACCCTATTATTATTGTTAATATTACTAACTGTGGGATCTACCGACCAACTACATTCTAACATCTCGGAACACACATAATTATTTGCTTCTCGAAGAGCTTCGTCTTCATTTCCACTATTTACATCTTGTTGATCTCTGATAGTTTCTGATTGTCCTGAGACAACCTGTGTTTCAGTTTCTTCAGTATTATTCGATCCCATTTCCATTCCATCAAGAATAGGATACATTATTTCTTCGGGACATCCCGAAATTTCTTCATAAGCTTCACGCATTTCTCCCCTTACCTAAAAAGAGATATATTATATGTTTTTAATAGAACTTGATAATTTTAATATATCTTTATAAACAATAAAAATTATCACCTCCAATTCATGAATACGTTGTAATGTTTCACTATCGATCTCCATTCCTTCAGGAATTTGTGATTCACCATCCGTTGGATTCTCGTGAGAAACCTGTGTTACTTCAGTTTGATTATTGATTAATGTTGAATCATTCATAACGATTTCAGTTGGTCTAACTCGTTCATGTGACGATGAAGTTTCGAGTATAGTTGTAGCTTCACAATCGGACATCGGATAAATTTGTTCTTCTGATATTTGGGATATTTGTTCTTTCGAAATTTGAGATACTTGATCTACGGAAGTTTGAGATGTACATTCTGTTGATAATTGAGATGATGTTTCTCTAGATGTTTGAGACATTTGTTCTATTTGTTCATTAGATCTTGGTGAATTTTCTTCAGGTAGAAGTATTGTATCTTCTTCAGATACTTCAAGAATGTGATTCTCTATTGATTGAAGATTTTTTTCATCTTGAGATAAGTGAATTTCTTCATCAAATGTATTTGAAATACTTTCTTGACAAACTTGTGCTACTACTTCACTTTCTTCAAGCATATGTTGTTTTTCTGAGAGATCTTTATCATCTTCTTCTAATTTGTCCTGATGCATTTCAGTATCAGTTATTGTTTCTACAGAATTTATGTTTACAGAGTCTATATGTTTTTCATCAATTAACGTATGCGTTGTTTCATTATATTCTGTTGGTAATAATTCTTGTATTTCTGTTGTTTCATTTAATTCTTCTGAATTATTTATACTAGTTTCAACTTTACAATTATCTTCTTCAACCTTATCTTCAGACATAATAGGACAGGGAGTATCTGATATAGGTGTATCTACATTAGATTCTAAGCGAAGTCTTAAACTCGAACGTGTTACAGCTCCTCCAGATCTTGATTCCGCAATACAATGAAGACCTGATCTAATTTTAGGTTCGCGTTTCTCACCCCATATAGGTTCGAAATGTTTTACTTTCCATGGATCTAATTTATTTTTATCTCTTTCTGCCTCCATTTTCAATCTTTGTTGATTTTCTGGAGTAAACTCTCCTTCTGCCAAGCGTTTACGCCATTCTAGGCATGCTCGTGCAAAGAATTCATTGTTTAATCCAGATGTAGCAGCATCCTAACAGAAAAAATATATTTTTATAAAAAAATATTATTTTAATAAAAATGAAAAAAAAATAAGATAGATAGAATAATTTGCTATCAATATATTATTAATAAATATATATATTTTTAAAATTACCTGTCTATCTACAGCAGGTAAAAGTTGTGCAAGTTTTCTTTGATACAAAGGTGGTAAACCTTGAAAGGTATGCCTATTTAAAAGAGCACGTAAACTTGTGCTTGCTAAGATACTTGCTGGAGATTCAAGATCTACAAGACCAGCTTCCAATTGTGCAGTTGCTGATAATCGTTTTGTTGATCGTCTACGTCCAGATTTTAAGCTAAATCCTGGCAAACTTGCCAGGACTTCCCTCATTGTGGCAGCAGGTTCTTCAGTTGCTATATTTAAATAAT